GCGCGCATGGTAAGCTCGACTAGCGGCGTTCTTGAGCTGCCTAGCCACTTCCGCATTATTCCTGTCCCCTTCAAGTGATTCCTTGTCCTCAAGGATGAAGTTCGGGAACTGGTCTCGCATCTATTCAAGATCTTCCCACGTGGCTTCTTCAGATGGCAATTCTTCCCAGTCAACTAGTACTTCCCAACGATAGCGCCCTGCTCTCTTTACCTTACGGTACTCAATCGCTCGTTTTGGTTGAACTATGGCCCTACCATCGGTTGCGGTGGTAGGTAACTCCTCACAATACTTTTGCGCTTCTCCCAAACTTCTCTTGAGTTGTGAGACATGGATAACTGGGTGAATTTGCGAACTTTCGGGTAACTCTAGGCGATATGCTACCTGTCCAATGCGCTTCAGAATCTGATAAGGCCCTTAATAGCGAACGCCTAGTTTAGTGGCGGCTCTTTGTGCTGTTGTGCGCTGTCTGAATGGTCGTAGCTTTAGGTAGACATATTCACCTGGTGAAAAATTTTCCTCACGCCTTTTTCCATCTGCGAAGGCTTTAGTTCGGTTAATTGAGCCTTCGAGATTTCTCTTCAGCTCACGTAACATCAAATCTCGTTCCTCTAGTTCTCGACCAACCTCATCGTTGACCGTACTCCCCTCCGAATAATTGATCAGCGTTGGGGGTTTTCGCCCGTATACCAACTCAAATGGTGTCATCTTGGTCGACTCGTGGTAAGTGGTGTTGTACCAATACTCAGCCTAGGGTAAAAGTTTTCCCACCGTTTCGGGAATTGATGGACGTAGCACCTCAAATACTGCTCAAGGGTTCGTTTGGTTACCTCAGTTTGTCCATCTGTCTGTGGGTGGTAGGCTGAGCTCATTGATAACTTAGTTCCTTGCAATTTGAAGAATTCAGACCAAAAGCTGCTCATAAAGATCCGGTCTCGATCAGAGACGATGGATTGAGGTGCTCCATGCAGTTTCATCACGCACTCCACGAATAACCTGGCAATTGACTTCGCGGTGTAAGGATGGGTAATGGGTATGAAGTGAGCATACTTGGTGAGACGATCCACTACAACCATAACACCGTCAAATCCATTGGAACTCGGTAACCCTTCTATGAAATCCATAGTGATGTCTTCCCAGATCGCCCCGGGCACTGGTAGGGGTTGCAATAGCCCACTCGGTCATCGTAAGTCAGACTTAGTGCACTGGCAATCATCGCATCGTGCTATGTAGTCTCAGACGGTACTCTGTTGTCCGGGCCAGAAGAAAGTGTTGGCTATTCTCATCCACGTGCGATAGATACCCGAGTGGCCTCCAACCTTAGAGTCATGGAAGTGCTGCATAATCTGTTCGCGTAACTGCCCACTGTTGGGGACATAGACTCGACCTCGGTGTAGAAGTAGACCATTATGCCACTCGTAGTCGATAGCAGTTGTCTTACCTGCTTCTATCGATTGGCGCAGCTCCTGGCAATGGGTGTCCTCTACTTGCGCCTTCCTGATCTCTTCCCAAATGGTCCAAGTAGGCCCAGTGATAGCACTCAACTCGGCCATATCTGTTCGTCGGGATAGTGCGTCGGCTACTACGTTCTGTCGACCCGGTTGATAGATTATCTCGAAGTCAAACCCCATAAGTTTAGATAAGAACTTCTGCTGCTCGGGGGTAACAATGCTTTGCTCCAATAGATGCTTAAGCGGCTGTTGGTTGGTAATAATCTAAGAACGTCGGCCTAACAGAAAAGGCCTCCAGCACCTTACAGCCTCGACGACTGCTAGCATCTCCTTCACGTACACCGATAGACCCAACCGGGTAGTACCTAGTGCCTTGCTGAGATAGGCTAGGGGTCGCCCTTCTTGCACTAGCACAGCTCCAATTCCAATGTCACTCGCATCGGTGTGTACCTCGAACAAGACATCAAACCTGGGCATGGCGAGTACTGGCGTTGTAGTCATAGCTTCCTTCTGTTTCCCAAACACCTCCTCACTAGCTTCGGTCCATGTGAACCCGCCTTTCTTAGTCATCTCTGTCAACGGCTTGGCGATGGTTCCATAATCCTTCACGAACTTTCGGTAGTAGCCCGTGAGTCCGAGGAATCCTCTCAACTGCGTGAGACTTGTTGGTTTAGGCCAAACGACCATAGCCTCAATCTTTCGTGGATCGACCCTCACGCCCTCGTGTGATATGAAGTGCCCCAAATACTCAACCATCCTCTGCCCAAAAGAACATTTGGATGGCTTTATATGGAATGAGTTGGCCTCCATAATTTCGAGCACTACTCTCAGATGCCCAAGATGTTCGCCCCATGACTTCGAATAGATCAGGATGTCATCAAAGAATACCAGAACGAACTTACGCAGATACTCCTTGAAGATAGAATTCATGGCGAACTGGAAAGTGGATGGGGCGTTGCATAATCCGAATGGCATAACAAGATACTCATAGTGCCCCTGGTGTGTACGAAAGGCTGTCTTTGGAATGTTGGCTTTGTGGAGTCGAATCTGATGGTAACCAGCTCTCAGATCGAGCTTAGAGAAATAGCGTGACCCGGCTAACTCATCAAGCATGTCATCAACACTCGGGATAGGAAATCGGTCCTTGATGGTTGCAGCGTTTAGAGCTCAGTAGTCAGTACAGAACCTCCACGTGCCGTCTTTCTTTTTGGCTAACAGAACTGGAGAAGAAAATGGACTCTTGCTATGCTGTATTAGTCCTGATTCAAGCATCTCGGCCACTTGCCGTTTGATCTCGGTTTTTTGAAAGTGAGCATACCTATAGGGATGAACGTGTATGGCATGCTATTCGTTGATCAGAGGTATGCGATGATCGAACTCCCGGTGTGGAGGTAGTCTCTTAGGTTCGCCCAGTACTCCCTAAAATTCCTGGAGAAGCTCGTGCACATCTCCCTGCTGTTGCTCCTCTTGATCTATGTGCGCCTCAGTCTTCTCCACTAGTACGGCAAATATTTGGCCTCCTCCCCGCCAAACCTTCTCAATACTCTTAAGCCCTACTTCTTTGGCACCTTTTTCATTGCCCGCACTTAGTGTGACTTGATGACCTCCGGAGTTGAACTCCATAATTCCTGTTCGATAGTCAGTGGTCACCTTTCCTAACCCCTTGAGCCATTGTACTCCTAGGACGACATCCGGCCCAACCAGAGGTAAGGCATAGAGATCAGCCTTCACCGTAACTCCGCTGAACCTGATTGGCACCTTCCGGAAGGATTTAGTGCATTGCAGTCTCTCACCATTGGCTACTCGTACCTCAAAAGGTTCGATATTCGTGGTTGGTAAGTTCAGCTTCTGAGACAAGTCGGTATTGATGAAGTTGTGTGATGACACGTTGTCTACTAGCACCACCACCTTCCGATCCTTGACCCAGGCCGGCAATCGCATCGTTCGAGGCCCTCGTATCCCGGCCATCGCGTGCATTGAGATTTCTGCTTCTTCGTCAGGCCCCTCAACTATGATATCCTGATGTGGTTCCTCCTCGTTCTCAGATCCTTCCTCATCGGGATTAGCAAGTTCGATCACAAAGGCTTGCTTACACTGATGACCTGGTGTAAACTTCTCCTCGCACTTAAAACATAAGCCTTTCTCACGTCGACGTTTAACTTCCTCAGGAGACAGCCGCCTCACTATCGACCCCGCTAGCCGATTGCTGACGCTCGGCCGTGCGTCGGCCGTGGCTGGGTTTGGCCCCGTGCGCCACGTGTCAGCGTATCGCACATCCGCCCGTCCCCTTCGCATAGCGACTAGATGGTCTTCTTGTCGGCGGGCCACCTCCATGGCGTTATGCATCGTGTCCGGCCGCTCCAGTCGGACTTCTGCGGCTAGATCGAATCTCAGTCCAGCTACGAAGGCCCCTACTAGTGCATCTTCAGACCAATCTCGCACGCGACAGGCTAGTCGTTCAAACTCCTTGATGTATTCACGCAAATTGCATGTCGGTCGGATTCGCGCGAGAGCCTCATTATAATTATGGTAATCGGACGTGCCAAATCGAGTAAGCAATTCTCTTTCAAAATCAACCCATGTAATGACCTGCTGTCGCCTACGGTAGATCCGGGAAAGCCACTGCCACCATACGTTGGCCTCACCATCTAAGTAGAATGCTGCGTACCTTACTCGATCGTGGCCGTCGGTTTCATTCAGTTCGAAATATTGCACGATTCGGTTGAGCCAAGCCTCCGGATCACTACCCGTGAAGATGGACATTACGAACCTCGGCTTGTCGGTCTTAGGCCGCTCACGGTAGGTGGACGCTTGCGACCGCCGATCGAAATCCTCCTCGTGTTCGTAACGCTCGTGTCGCCGACCCTCCTCCTGTTCGCGTGCGCGCCGTTGCTCGCGTCGATCCTCGCGCCGTGGGAATGGTGTGCGATCGGCGTGCTCGTCGTGCCGACGGGGTTCGCGCCTCGGGGGATTTTCGCGGTGAGGTGGTTGCTGTTGGAGTGCACGCAAAACTTCCTCTAATCGCTGTTTGAGTCGTGTGACAACGGCGTTGGTATTGTTTTGACTTTCGTCAAGCGATCCAAGCCTTCCTTCCATAACCTCGCTCATACTCCGCATCTGGATGTCAAGATTATTGATCTTATCCTTCATCTCCTTGTTAGCCATGGCTTTTCTTTCTTCTCTCCGCTCTTTGCTTTGTGGACTCGTGGTTGAGACGATGATGGTGATGATGAACGAAAGTTTATTTTTTTTTTTTTTTTTTTTTT